ATTTTTAGAGGGCCTTGTGGGGGAAAGCAAGGCACCAAGCTTCAATTTAGTTTTGCAGTTCATCCACAAACAGACGGTCAAACTGAGGTAGTAAATAGGAGCCTAGGCAGCCTTTTGAGATGCTTTGTGGGAATGGGATGTCATTCTAGTGTAAGCTGAGTTCGCCTACAATAGGTTTGTAAGTCAGACTATAGGACACACTCCGTTTGAGATTGTTTACAGGTGCAATCCGCTTATAACACTTGAATTGATACCACTCTTACTGATGTCATAAGTCAACAAAGATGCTAAGGTGCTAGTTCACGAGATTTAAAACCTCCACGAAGAGGTTGACAAGGAAATTGCTAAGTAGAACCACATATATCAGACACATGTAAATAATTCTAGGAAAAGGGTGACGTTTCATGAAGGAGACCTTGTGTGGATTTGGCTAAAGAAGGGAAGATTTCTGGTGGGAGCATTCGGGAAGCATAAGCTCAGAGTTGATGAACATTTCAAAATACTTCGGAAGCTACAACATGTACCAAATTGACCTGTGAGGGGACTACAACATTTCAGCGACGTTCAATGCCGTAAAATTGACACCATATTTTGAGAACTTAAAAGCTTCGAGAAATGAAGTCGAAGTTTCTTTAACCACAGGAGACTGACGCAAGGTTGGGCATGGGGTTCCGACTGAACCAGCCCTATTTGGTTCAGGCTTGCTGGACTGGCCGACCCCCGTAGGAAAGGGGATCCGCCGCCCATATTTTCCTATCTTCCATTTACTTTTTCTCTATTCCCTCGTGTTCCCTTTCCTTTTCTATTAATCTCATTTCTAGTTGCTTATTCTAGGCTTTCACTTTTAAGTTTTTCCTTATTCTGATTATTACCTATTTCTCCTTGCTAAACACTATTATATATAGGTCTTGTTTTCCTAAGTGCAGGTGGCTGATTTTGTTTTCTGAATTTAGAGCCCTCCACCGTCGTTTTTTTTTCTTCCGAGGGCTATATCCGAAGATAAGAAGGTGCTCCGGTTGTAACTCGTCTAAGGTGGTGACTATTTTCGCTGTTCCTCTGTTCTTGCTTTCACTGACTCCACCCCATGCTTCCAGATTTGCTGCAACCATCCTCCTGTACCTCCTGGAGGTTGCAACATCAATCGTATGCGTCTAGGAGATCTTTGCTACTTACACCCGCATCCAAAAGGTGGCGCTGCCTCCTTTCCCGCGATCCTCGCATGTCACCGACGTTGTACCTGCTTCGTGATTGTCGTCGCCCCCATTCTTACAATACCAGAAAGCCACTGATCCCGTCACCTGCTTCCAGGTTATTGTAGAGGCCCTGCTGCGATTCCAAAGAGTCGCAACCCCCGACCCGAGATACCAGACTGCTATAGAGTCTCTCATCGGGCTTCCACCTGATCGCCAACTTCTTCAGGCCACACCAGTAGGTTGCCAGCCACATCCAGCTCGTCTGGACAGTCAACCGCACTTGCTGGCCCATCGACACCACAACCTCTGCTGCCCTGCACTTTCCAGCAACCATCCACACCTGTTGCTCCCTTCGCCTGCAGTCACTGGTCAACCCCCTCCCTCTCATCGCTGAGGTTCATGGATACCTTCCTTCGACTGCCACAGGGTCGTGCTAGCCCTGCCTTGATTTTGTTTTATTTATTATTTTGAGTCTCAATTGTAATCATATTATTATTTTCTTTATAAAATTTGTCTTTTGTCATCGTGGGTTTAGTTAACTCCAGTATCACTGGCCCATCCTCATTTTCATTATGTTGCAAAATTATACCTTTATCTTCTTATTAATAAAAAGCCAGTCTTATCAGTGTGAAACCTGCCAATTGGCTTGACATACTTGTCATGTATATTCGCAGTCTTAGTACAAACCCTCTCATTTTTTTTATATCATCCACTATGTCATTCGAGGACCTTCAAAATTGAAAATCGTCAATGGAGCTAGATGATTTATCTCCTTCATTGATGATAACACTAGAACAGTTGGATATTCTACATGAAGGAGAAACCTGAAGCTACACAAATCTTTCAGTCATTCCATTACATGATTGACACTATGTTTAAATGCAAAATTCATATTCTCAAATTGATAATGCAAATGAATACTTCAAGTAGATTCTTGGACCCTACCTTCCAAAGAGTGGTTTCATCCATGTAAGTTCTTGTGTTGAGACTCCACAACAAAATGGGATAATTGAGAGGAAGAATATGTATATCCTTGAGTATCTAAGTCTATAATGCTTTCTCACAATATCCTAAAAAATTTCTTGGGAGATGCAATGCTCACAACCACCCACCTTATTAATTGAATGCGAAGTAGTTCATTGGATTTAAACTCCTTTGCATAAACATACCCTCATGCTAGAGTCTTCTTATCCAATCTTCATGTAAAAGTATTTTGTTGTCTCTCTTTTGTTCTCATTCACCAACCAAACTGCACAAAGCTTGACCAAAAATCTAGCAAATGTATCTTTCTTGATTATGCTTAAGGTGTACAAGTACTATTCTTTTATTATTAAAAAATATAATAACTTCATGGATGTTATATTCCTTGAAAAACAATTATATTACCTCGAATTTGAAATTCATGGGGAGAATTTGGGTGAATATCTCTGTATATCGACACTGAACAAAATCACCACAACCTATTCTAATTCTCTCTAACTATCTTGTCTCCTAAGTTCCATCACTTGAAGATATCCTACCTGAGATTGACAATAAAGAAATGCACAAGAAACTTCATGTGTACACTAGGAGAAAGAAATCCATTGAATAGGATAAAGACAATATGCTACCACAAGATTCCACAGGACTATTCATAACCAAGCCTGAATCCACACATCTCTGAAGTTCCAAGGAAGGTAAAATCCAGTGGAGAAGACATGGAGAGTTGCACGAATTATCCTATCCAGGAGTATGGTACTTATGGAAAGTTATCATCACCTTAAAAAAATTTTTTGTTTCTAAATGACTCATGTAAATTTGTAAAGCTTCCTATATATAAAAGACTTGTTAGGTGCAAATTGGTGTTCAATGTTAAGTACGAAGCAGATAGGAGCATTGAGAGGTTCAAGGCTAGGTTATTGGTCAAATGTTTACTCGGTCTTATGGGATAGACTATCAAGAGACATTTACACCAACGACCAAGCTAACCACTATAAGAATTCTTCTTTCCTTGGCAGTGAGCTGAGAGTGAGAATCGCTTCAACTTAATATCAAGAATACCTTTTTAATTGCTCGTCCCATCAAGGAGCAATGGGACTTCTTACGACCAAATAAGCTCGTCTCCAATCCTCTTGGATGGCTCAAAGCAAATGTTGATGGTGCTCTATTGGCTAACAATCTGGCGGGTGTTGGAGTTGTAATTTATGACGAGGATGACAAGGTTCCTGTGGTGGCAGACCATTTCCTTCTGCATAGGATAGCTCGAGGGTGGAATATGAGGCGGTGTATTTTTTTGGTCATTGTTATTGAGCCATGGATGTTGTAAATGAAGGGAATCATCATTAAGGGGATACTGAAAGGGTCATTAATTCCTTTCAGGAGAGCATGCAGACTTAGGTTTGGCAACAAATCCTTAGACTGAGCTCGTAGTTGACTTTTCTCTATGATTTTGTACGGCTATTTTTTTGTTTTTATATAGAAAATGTAACAAAGCGGCCCATTTTTTATGTGCTTGCTTTGGATAGATCTTTTTTTTGGAAGGATCACACTTGTGACCCCAACTTTTTGAGCGTGGTTGAGGAAGATACCGACCATGCTGCTTCTCTTTTTGTTTAGCTTTTATAGCTTTTTTTTGGTACATTTTGATTTTATTTTAATGCAAAATGCACACCCTTAAAAAAAAGAATTCCTTTTTAAATGAAGACCTTGAGAAAGAAGTATATATTGAGAGTCCATCATGTTTGAAAAATGGCTCAAATAAACATCTAGTTTGTAAACTAATAAAGTCACTTTATGCTCTCAAACAATCTCCATGAGCTTGGTTTGACAAGTTTGCCAAGACTATGAAACTTAATGGGTATATTTAATGCCAAATTGATATAAGAAAATTATACTCACTATCTATGCAGACAATATGATTCTGTTATGTGATGATTAAAAAGAGATTGGAAAGATTACGCTTTCTGCTTATGGAAGTGCAAAATTTGAATACTGAGCACTTGCTTTGGGAATTTGCGAAGGAATGTGGATCCAAAAGTTACTAAATGAGTTGGGATACTCCACGGTCAATCCTATAAAAATGTTCAATTACAGTCAAGCCACCATTAATATTGCAAAGAATCTTGTGCAAACTTGATAGGCATTTTATTTCCGATAAGGTCAATAGTGACATTATTCACTTAGTCTACATTCAACTAATATTGTAAGTTGTTGATATCTTCAATAAAATTCTGCCTCTAAGCAGCTCCAATGATTTGAATACTAAGCCGGGTCTTTACAACATCTATGACTCAACCTAAGGGGGAATGTGGAATTCTGCATTTTTCTATTTCAGCTTTATTCGTTTTCATTCTTTTCTTATTACGATGAATGTCTTTCCTTCTGTGATTGTCTTTTTTTGGGTAAGCAGCAAATGTATTAATTATGTTTGCCCTAGCTGTCCCCCATATAATAAGGGGAAATATTGTAATTTGAACATTAAAAAATAAGAGATTATAGCTTCTCCACACTTCTTCAATATTGTGGGCAAGGACATTCTTTCGGCGCATTTACAAACAAACCACCCAATTTCTATGTATTTACATATAAAACACCTAGAATTTGCTTTTTCTTACATTTATACCACACAAATCATTTTTACCGCATACAAATACCACTATTTTAACTTTTAAAAAGTAAAATACATCTTTTCATGCATATCTAAAGTGACATATATGTAAAAATTGAAAATTGAGTGTTAGATATGTAATTAAATAGGAATTGAGTGGTATGCATGTAAAATTTCTTCTTTTTTTCTATGATATTAAATATTTCTGTTCATGTTTGCAGCAAGCGAAGAGTGAGGCAGCAGCTGCATTTGGAAATGATGGTGTGTATCTGGAAAAGTACATTCAAAATCCAAGGCACATTGAGTTTCAGGTTCTTATTACCAAATTATGCTACCGGGGAACTTACAATTTTAGATAGTTGTACAATGTCATCTCTCCTTTTTTTTATCTTCTTAGATGCAATAAAGTCTTCAACTTGTCAAAGCACTTTTTTATTAGGTTAGATAAAGGTTCTGTAAGTGGATTTATAAACATCCAAATTTGACGATGGATGGCGGGCAAACCTTCATGCATTACTGAGAACATCTGTAAAATATATTTTAATGTAGTATAAAATTTATTTTGAAAAGACAGAACCTCATTTTATAGGAAAAAACTTAAAATAAAAAGCATTACAATATTCATCTAAACAACTTAATAAAAAATATTGATGTTTAATAACATTCTGAAACAAATAGATACTTCAATTTAATAATATGATATCTTCTTTAATAAATATTTACTTGGGTTTTAATGGTCGCAACATTTTAGGAGCCATTATGAAGCGCTCAAAAGTATTTGTCAAGTAGCTTATAAGTATCCAAAGAGATTATAAATTTACCACAGAATATGGAGGGATATTGAGTTCTTGATCTGAAAACATTTAGATCTTTTTTTTATACTTTAAAAAATGATTTGGTCTGTGTCATTGATGATTGAATCAGCATTAGGTTAAACTCAGTGCTTCAAAAGGTTTCTCATGCACCAAATGACACCATCTAGCAAAAATTCATAAATATCCATGTGTAAACGAAACTATTCTTATGTCTTAACAGGTTCTTGCTGACAAGTATGGAAATGTTGTTCATTTTGGAGAGCGTGATTGCAGTATTCAGGTACTTCCAAGTGATTTTGTACAGCTTTTATTGGTTTCACACGAATCTAGCTTGTCACCAATTGTCCTTATAACTTCCGAAGAGATTTCTTTTTTCATTTCTTGTCCTTTCTCATGCTATCAGAATGTAAATTTTTCACTCATCAATCTCAATGGAAGCTAATGTTCTTAATGTCATTCAGATTTGTTCATGCATGTGTCGTATATTCTAGCACAATAACATATACACATTGTATGAAACTACATTATCATAGGTAGTTTGGGAACGAGAAAAGTGTTAAAGTTGTTCCATGACTCTTTGCAGGGAATTATTTTAGTCCGGGAGTCTATAGAAGTGCCAATTTAGTCTCAGAATCTTTTAATATTAATTAAAAAGTTCCCATGAAGGACTATTCAGTCTCGAGTCTAGGGACTAATTTAGCACTTTTGTAGACTATCGGACCAAAATGCACCCATTTAAATAGTCAGATGAATATTTTGATATTTTTTTGGGAACCATTCATGAGATTTTATGACCCTGGTTCTTTGGAGGGTACCAAAATCCCATGCTCCTAGTAGATGTTAAAACCTTGCCAGTGCTTAGGAAATTACACATAATTTGAAGTCCACTTCTTTTGGATTCTTTTTTCCTTGATACAGAAGGTTTCCTGCTGTCTAATTGAACGCTCAAATTTCAATAATTTTATCAATAACAAATAAAATGAAATTATGGCAATACTAAAACAATAATTGACATGTATTTCCCTAGCTAAGGTTCCATTCTTCCTTTCACATTTATTTGCCACATAAAATACTGGCAATAAAAATTTGCTGACCCTTGTGTAGGGTCTATTCTTTTTTTTCTTCTTATTTGATCAATTAATGACTTTCAAAACATGATGTATTTTTCAGAGAAGAAACCAGAAACTATTAGAAGAAGCCCCTTCTCCGGCTTTGACCCCAGAACTACGGAAAGCTATGGGTGATGCTGCGGTGGCAGCGGCTGCATCAATCGGCTATATTGGTGTTGGAACTGTGGAATTTCTTTTGGACGAGAGAGGTTCCTTCTACTTTATGGAAATGAACACGAGGATCCAGGTATGGATAGCACTTGAAGTAACTTATCTTTTCTCAGCTATCATCTATTATATTTTTGAGTCGTCTACATATTTATTTTTGATGAAATAGGTCGAGCACCCTGTTACAGAAATGATTTCCTCAACCGATTTGATTGAGGAACAAATTCGTGTAGCTCTCGGAGAGAGGCTGTCTTTTGAACAGGTTACCGGTTAAAATGTTGGGAATTTACATACGCAGAACTCAATTCTTATGTATTTACATATTTCGCACCTATATTTTCATATTTACATACACAGCACTTTGATATTTTTCATCTAGGCATGAAAAAATGTACTTCACTTTTAAAAAATGATAATAGTACTATTTTTGATGTGTGATTAAATTTTTGAGTGTTGTGTGTGTAAATATGAAAGTGTAGGCGTGCATGTAAATACATAAGAATAATGCTCTATGTCTGCAAATGACCCTCAAATTTTTAGTAGGAGTTGATAACTAGTCATTGTTTTGTAACTAAAATACTGTGCCTTCTTAATCTATAGGAGGATATTATTCTCAGAGGACATTCAATCGAGTGTCGCATCAATGCAGAGGATCCCTTTAAAGGATTTCGTCCAGGGCCAGGTTTAAATTCTTTCGCTTGATTAATATAATTATATGGTTTGGTTTATAATTTTCTGATGGGTCAAATAAGCGAAGAAAGACTAGTGAAACTTTTTAACTAAAAATAGGCATGAATGCTGGTCAAGTTTTTTTTAAGAAAACAGAAAAACAAAGCATATTCTTCTGTTAGTTATTTATGAATTATTGGTACTTTATGATCACCTGGTGAAGAAAGAAGGGATATTTACATGCATACCACCCAATTCTTATACATTTACTATTTACATATCTAACACCTAAATTTTAATTTTTACAATTTTACCTACCAAATCTTTCGTTTCACATAAAAATACCACCATTTTAACTTTTAAAAAGTGAAATACACCCTTTCAAGCAAAGGTAAGGCGGCATATATGTACATATTGAAATTTAGGTGTTAAACATGTAAATACATAAGAATTGTTTGGTCTGCATGTAAATCTTCCAAAAAAAGAAATACATTTCTTCATCACTTGCTCACTTCGGAGTTTTTTTTTTTCCCAGTTAAGACTTGTGTGCACTACCATTGATTATTAACCTGCTATTGTTATTGGTTATTAACCTGCTATTGTTATTATCAATGTGATCAATCTTATTACAGTCACATTAGTAAGATTTTCCATGCAACTAACTTTTTATTTATTTTGGTGATGGCAGGGAGAATCACAGCCTATCTTCCATCTGGTGGTCCATTTGTGAGAATGGATAGTCACATTTATCCAGATTATGTCGTGCCTCCTAGCTATGACTCCCTACTTGGAAAGGTATGCATTTCCTTTCTGTAAACAATCTACTTCAATGCGTGATTTGGTTTAAAAAAACTTAAGAATTAGGCAGCAGTTCAAAAAATTCAACTAGAGAAGTTAAAAAGCACGAACCAGACAATCATTAGTTACATAAACTAATAAATAAATGTTTTAATTGCTGTTATAATTGAAATATGGCAAGTCTTTTTACTGTTTACTGAATGCATCTTCTAACATATCCTCTTTATATATAGCTTATTGTTTGGGCCCCAACCAGGGATAAAGCCATCGAACGAATGAAACGAGCTCTAAATGACACGGTCATCACTGGTTAGTTTGCAAACAATTATACATAGATACAGTTTTCTTTTGCTCCTTTTTTTTAATTATTGTAGTTAAGAAAACATATAAATCTTGCTTGATATTTTTTTTTTCTAAATTTAAAGAATGTCTTTTTTACAAAGCCCTATAATTTCAATACCGGATGGAACTCTTTATTATATTACAACGTCTTCCTTTGTTTTAGTATATCATGTATTCCAAATCTTTATTCCACATATTAAATACATTTAATCTCTATTCTCTTTCTTCTTGTTTCTTTCTATCAATTCTCACTTTCCTTTTTGTTTTGGTTGCACACACTAACTCTTGTTAATGTCTAGAGTTAGGATTTGTTAAAGGAAGCCGGGTGGGGATTACATTGCCTGTGGTGTTATCATTTACACAAATTTCTAATATGTGACCTCTCATTGACATATTCTCAGATGCTTTTAATAACACATAATGGCTTTTGTACATTGCTTGTCGTTTTTGAAGAGTTCACTGAAACTTATAAATAGAAAAAATAATCAAAATAGTTCCCCTACTATTTGTGTGGGACCGTTTGGCCCATTTTATTCCTGGGCTATATAAATGGTTGGATTTTGAAATTAATGAAAATTAAACTAATTGATGATATTAATAATAAAGATATTTTAGAAATTTACTTCTTAAATAATTTATTAGATTTTTGTAAAATTCTTTAATATTTGAATTTCTAAAGTATCCTCATGTTAAACCTATCTATATCTTTAATTTTTGCTACTTTTAATGCCTTGACTATTTTGGCTCTTACTTTAATAGTCCTATGGGTAAATCAGACTTTTTTTATTTAGTTTAAGGCTAAAATAGCCTCTTGTAAATAATCCGGGGACCATTTTTTGCCATTTTCTTTTTATAAATATTACTTTACTCCTAAGCTATGCGCCTATACCTTGAAGCAACAGACTTTTTTTATTTAGTTTAAGACTAAAATAGGCTCTCGTAAATATTCCGGGGACCATTTTTTGCCATTTTCTTTTTATAAATATTACTTTGCTCCTAAGCTATGCGCCTATACCTTGAAGCAAATCAGATGTTATGGTTTTATGGTTTCTTCATGCGTATGTGAATGCTGTTATGAACCCACTCATATAGCTATTGCAATTGTATTACTTTGTCAGGTGTCCCGACTACAATTGAGTACCACAAGCTCATTCTTGATGTTGAGGTACAAAAACTATATGCCGTTGGATTTTGGGGGATGCGGTTGGCTTTTGATTTTAATCAAACAGATTCACCTATTACTTGGGATACGAGATGCCAGTTTCTCAAGGATTTAAGGCAGCGATTGGATTAAATCAAGGGAAATTTACATACAACATAAACAGCACCCAGTTCTTAATTTTTTGCATCTCACATTTATATTTTTATATTTACATATGTGGCATTTGGTGTTTAAAATCTATGCATGAAAAAATGTATTTCACTTTTTTAAAAAATGATAGCAGTGCTATTTTTGATGTGATACTAAAGATTTGAGTCTTATGTGTCTAAATATGAAAGTTTAAGTGTGAGATACATAAATAGATAATAATTGAGTGCTATGCATGTGTATGCCCCTTTAATCAAATGAACATATGAAATGCAGAGGCGACTCATTTGTGTATTTCATGAGGCGTCCCCTATCCCCTATGATTTGGTTGAAATATTAATTTAGATGCATTTATTGTTTGTTTAAATTCAGAAAATTTACATGTTTCTGTTCATGTTAACACAGGACTTTAAAAATGGGAAGGTGGATACAGCATTCATACCCAAGCATGAGAACGAATTGGCCGAGGTACCATATATTTTTTTTCTATGAAAATGAATCCTGCTTGATTGATTAAGAGCATCCTTTTGTTCTAATTAAGTTCTTTTTATTTAGTGTTTCAGGGAGTACTGTTGTATTTCTAGTGAATTCATCCGATACTGTCCAAAACAATAATGGGGCATTTATTACGTGCCACCCAATTCCCATGTATTTACATATCTAACACCTAAACAGGCAGAGGGGTTTTCCTCCAAAAGCTGAATCGGTTTCACCCAAACCGGTTCAGTTGAGAGAAGGGGCTGAACTAGACCCTCCCCGCTCTTTTAATTAGCGGGAAGCCCGTCCCACTTCTATTTATATGTGTTTTTAGGTCTTAGAGTTGCAGCTTATTCTGATTTCAGATTTGTGACGACAGCCGCCGGTGTCTTAGTTTTCCCTCGAGTGCTGTATCCGACGGAAAAGGTGATGCTCCAGCTAAATTCCTCTCTCTGGTGGTGATTATCTTCTCCGTATCCCTCCTTCCCCGCTGCTACACCCCCTCCCAACAACCTACTCCCTGCCCCATCTCCCTGCAGTCTTATATAGCTGCAGCCGCCCTTCCCAGATCTTGCTACCCAGGACCTTCCCCGCCAGCAACCTGTTCTACCTGCCTGCTGGCCGGTAGCCACAGTCCCAGCTCCCTGCTTGCAAGCACAACACCCACCTGCAAGCCACCACTGCTGTAACTCCCTCCCAGGCCCCTCCCCACTGGCGTAAATCCTTACCAGATCCACTCCCTGCTGCTGTAACTCCCTTTCTCCTCCATTACTACAACATATACCCTCTCCACCTCTCCCTACCCAACCAACCCCGTAACCTCCCTCCCAACTACAGGGTCACTAATTTCAGCCCCTCCACAGCCGCTTTACTTGCTGGAATTCCCAAACCTGTCAGCCCCAATCCTCTTATCCACCCCTATTGCTGCTACAAGTACCAGCCAGTCACCACACCTGCTGTTCTGCCGGCGCCACCACCTCTCGTCCTCACCCTTGGGGGGTCTTTTTAGTTTATTGGTCTTTTATTTCTTGTTCTGACGAGTCCTGTTATAATCTTTGAAATTCAGCAATGATATTATCATTTTCTATTATGGTTTGAGTCTACTTCGGTATCTTTTGGTATTAGAGCTAGCCCAACTATTTCCAGCATAGGGTTTTGTAATATCCGCCATAAACCAAACATTTCTTTTCTACCACCAAGTATCTTTTCCATAACTCAAACCCTAAGCCCACCAAAATTTTTCTCTTATTCCTAAAGCTTAGTCATGCCACCAATGCCATACATGCACAAGCCTTCCTGGGAGATGTACAAGAAATCCGCCAACTTCAGGGAAGGCTGGCATACATTGTGGATGAAATTCAATGGGAGGCTACCCTCTATCGTGATCTGAAATGTTGAAGGAGGGTCTTAGATATGACTCATATACCATAAATGGACAGTGCTGAATCTGGAGCGGAGCAGAGCAGAAGATTCTGTCCAAATCAGGGGAGTTTCCTTGTGTGGGTTGGAGGTGTGTGTCGGCCGTTTTATTGTTCAACTTCACTTTCGTAGTTTGGAAACGATGATGATTTTGAGATTTTGAAAATAATTTAAATATAAATATAACTTTTTTAAAGAAGTAATGTTTTTTAATTTTTAAAATAAGTGAGACCAAACGAGTCTCACATTTTTAAATAGTTTAGATGATTTAATATAATACTACAAGCAATACACTTATCCCGAAGAATAAATATATTACTTGTAATAGGGATTTAATCATCTAGACTAAACAATTTGTGACATCCGTTTTGATCTGCGAAATATTTTTATAAAAAGGCCAACAAGTTCCCCTATCTAACATAAAAAAAATTAAATAGGGTTTATTTTATCTGGGTTCCTGGTTCCCTATAGAGGCAAGCCCCTATAGTTAATTACATCTTAAATGATCGAAATCACTTAAGATAACTCTCGATTAAGATCAGGTGGTTTTGCTTTCAAGATTTCAAAGTTTAGGTTTTCACGATTGGACATAAGAAAGTCAAATGGGAATGACTCAAAATAGGAACAATTATTTTAGGAATTCAAATGAAAGAAAAGTAGGGGACATCACAGATCCAGGAGAAACCCCGGAGATGTC